AACCCCAGCTCCCGCAAGAACCCCAGGTCCTGCAGGAACCCCAATCCTGCAGGAACCCCAGCTCCAGCAGGAACCCCAATCCTGCAGGAACCCCAATCCTGCAGGAACCCCAATCCTGCAGGAACCCCAGTCCTGCAGGAACCCCAGCTCCAGCAGGAACCCCAGCTCCAGCAGGAACCCCAGCTCCAACAGGAACCCCAGCTCACCTTGTTCTTCTTGCCGTCCACCTCGAAGACGGAGATGGAGCCCTTGCGGTAGATCTCGTCCCCAGGGGGGTGCTTCCACACACACTTGGCCTGGGACAGGGACACCGAGAGGGGCTGGCACCGCTGCTCCCGCGGCAGGGGATGAGCCCTGCCTGCAGGATTCCCAACGGGAATGAGCCCTGCCTGCAGGATTCCCAACGGGGATGAGCCCTGCCTGCAGGATTCCCAACGGGAATGAGCCCTGCCTGCAGGATTCCCAACGGGAATGAGCCCTGCCTGCAGGATTCCCAGCAGGAATGACCCCTCAATGCTCCCAACAGCAGGATTCCCAGCGGGAATGATCCCTCCCCAGTCCCACAGCAGGATTCCCAGCAGGAACGACCCCAGCCCACTCCCACAGCAGGATTCCCAGTGGGAATGATCCCTGCCTGCAGGATTCCCAGCAGGAATGAGCCCTCCCCTCACCATGTGCCGGCGCAGGATGGTCTGGCTCTTCATGTACTTGAGGCAGAACTCGCACATGTAGAGGCGCCCGAGGCGCGCGTACTCCTCGGGGTAGGGCGAGTGGTACCACGTGTCCAGCTCGTAGCGCCCGAACGCGATGGTCTTGATCATGTTGCTGCCCTCGGTGATCTGCCCCTGCAGCCTCAGCTTCTCCTGCCCCGGGGGAAACACAGGGTCACACAAAAAATCCAATCAAGGCAGCTGGAGGACAACAGGGATTTGTTTTCCTGGAGGAAATCTGGGTTTAGTCCTGTAAATTCGTCTGTTGCTAAATTCCTACGGCTCCTCGCCGCTCCCTGGTCCTCTCCTGATCCCCAGGGAGCCTCACGAGTGCTGTGAGGAGCAGCTGGGGGTGTTTATCCTGGAGAAAAGGGTCAGGGGAGACCTCAGGCTCTCCATAACCCCTGACAGGAGGGGGCAGCCAGGCTCTGCTCCCAGGGAACAACAGGACACGGCTGTGCCGGGACACCTTTGGGCTGCACCCGAGGAGGAATTTCTTCCCAGAAAAAGGGACTGGGAAGTGGAAGGGGCTGCCCAGGGAAGTGTCAGCATCCCTGGAGGTGTTTGGAAAGCCTGGATGTGGCACTCGGTGACAGGGTGGTGTCAGGTGGCACTCGATGATCTCACAGGGCTTTTCCAGCCCGGATCGTTCTGTGGCTCCGTGACACGGCCCAAGGCCCTGCCCCAGGTGCCCCAGCTGTCCCAGGAAAGCATCAAAGCATCGTTTGATCCCTCTCTGGAATGGGATGTGGCTTTGGGAAGCTGCTCAGGAGTTTCAGCAACACCAGGCTGTGAACTCAGCCACGGGCTGAGGCCGAGGTGGCGTTTGTTGTCAGCAGCCCTGGGCAGGGAAGCCGGAGCTGTCACCGTCCCCTGGCAGCACCCCTGGAATGTCACCGCGCATTCCTGAGCGCAGAGCTCAGCTCCAGCTGCTCCTCCAGCTCTCCCTGGGGATGGCTGGAGCTCACCCCCAGCCCTGGAGCTGCCCCAGGTCCCAGGACGGATCTCACCAGGTCCTCGGAGGCGCGTGCCTGAGCCCTCCGGAACAGCTCCAGGTCGTACTCGCTGGTCAGGTTCTCCAGGAGAGGCTCCCTGGTGTTGCCATAGGTTTGCCTGTGCTCCTGGAAAACCAAAGGGTGGGAGTTTGGCTGCTGAGCCGCTGGATCCTGCGGCTCTTCTAGCTGGGAATGCTGCAGGATGACTGGGAGAGCCAAATCCCACCGCGGGAAGGGTGGGAAGGATAAAATCCCTGCTTTTACCATGTATTTCTCCTTCTGCTCCTTGCTCAGCCCCGAGTTCCTCTTCTTCCTCAGCTCGGCCACCTTCTCCTTGTAGCGCAGCTGCCTCTCCGTGGGGGCCTGAGAGAAACCCCGGGTGGGACCCTGAGGGGCTGCAGCCCCCCCAGACATCCCCCTGCACCCCAAACAATCCCGTCCTGAACCAGATCCTGGGCTAACCACAGGGCGCTGCAGGAATGCAAGGCAGGAAATTCCCCTTCCCGCCACAGGCTGGGTGCCACGGGACGGGGTGAGCTCCCCACGGAACGCTCCGTGCTGGGGAGCAGCTCCCAGCTGACTCAGCCACTGGGAAATGTCATTCCCCTGCTTTGCCTCTCCAGGGCTTACTCAGAGGGAAATTGCAGCTCACAGCTCCGCAGGAATTCCTGCTCCTGCGCATCCAAACACGGACAGGAGCATCCCGAGAAGGCAGCTCGGCTCTCCCACCCCGCTGAAGGGACAGCAGGAATTGCTCTGGCCCAGCAGCTCCCCAGGGACGGAGCCCAGGCTGTCCCCGCTCACCTGGTGCCTGGTGGCGTGCCTGTTGTTGTCATCCTGCCTGTGGGCCAACATCCGCTCCTCGATCTGCTTGTCCCGGCTCTGCGCTCGCACCTGGAGAACGAAATCCCTCAAAAACCTGCAGGCACCTCCTGTCACCTGTCCTGTCACCCATACTGTCACCTGTCCTGTCAGCACTCCTGTCACCCGTCCTGTCACCCGTCCCGTGAACCCCTCCTGTCACCCATCCTCTGCCACCCATCCTGTCACCTGTCCTGTCAGCATTCCTGTCACCCGTCCTGTCACCCATACTGTCACCTGTCCTGTCACCTGTCCCGTGAACCCCTCCTGTGAACCCCTCCTGTCACCCGTACTGTCACCCATCCTGTCATCCCTCCTGTGAACCCCTCCTGTGAACCCCTCCTGTCACCCATCCTGTCAGCCCTCCTGTCACCCGTCCTGTCACCCGTCCCTGCCAGGGCAGCGCTGCAGCTCCAGCTGTGCCACACGCCTGCTGCTCACAGCTCACCAGGCTCGGCACTTTGTCCTAAAGACAAACTTTTGTCCCAGAGGAGGGGACCCAGCAGGAGGGGACCCAGCAGGAGGGGACCCAGCAGGAGGGGACCCAGCAGGAGGTGAGGGTGGCTCACCTTGCACTCGTCTGCAGAGAGGTTGTGGTACAGAGGGCAGCCCGAGATGGAGAAGTGGCGCTCGTGCTTCCCGGTCAGGTGTCCTGCCAAGCGTCACAAAAACAACCAAAACTGTGAGAAACGATCCCAAAGAGGTGGAAAAAGTCTCCCAGATGGGCAGATCCTCACAGGAGCGTGCTCAGGTCACTGACAGGGGGATAGGAGGAGGAAATTTCCCAGTTTAAAAAGGAAGGAAAATCTTTCTCGCACTCAGCCAAAGCAGCCAGGGATGGGAGCGCAATAATCTGGGACTGAAATCCTGCTCCTGGCAAAAACACAAATCTGGGACTTCTCCTCCTGTCTGACTCCTTATCCTGCCACCCCCCAAAACACAGAACACCTCCAGCAATCACACCCCTGCGTTTCCATCCCTCCTGCCCACCCACGGCTCCATATTCCTGCCCCACAGCCCGTTTTTGGGATGTGACACCCAGAACAGACCCCCAGCCCACCCCACAGCCCGTTTTTGGGATGTGACACCCAGAACAGACCCCCAGCCCACCCCACAGCCCGTTTTTGGGATGTGACACCCAGAACAGACCCCCAGCCCACCCCACAGCCCGTTTTTGGGATGTGACACCCAGAACAGACCCCCAGCCCACCCCACAGCCCGTTTTTGGGATGTGACACCCAGAACAGACCCCCAGCCCACCCCACAGCCCGTTTTTGGGATGTGACACCCAGAACAGACCCCCAGCCCACCCCACAGCCCGTTTTTGGGATGTGACACCCACAGCAGACCCCCAGCCCACCCCACAGCCCATTTTTGGGACGTGACACCCACAGCAGACCCCCAGCCCTCACCCAGGGAGTTGCAGCCAGGAGTGGGACACTTCATGTTGAAGTTGTAGCTCTCGTGGAAGCGGCGGCGCTTGGGCCGGTGCGAGAGGTCGCTGCCCGAGTCCTTCATGGACATGTCCTTGGCCAGGCTCTCGTCGTGGGACACGTTGGGGCTGGAGATGTCGATGTCGGACTCGGAGGAGGGCGCGTTGCCCGTGGGGGTGCGGGGAGGGGACTCGTCGTGATCCGCAGCGTTTTTGGTGTCTGGAGGAGGAGCGGAGCGGGCAGAGCTGCGGGGGGAGCGCCCGGGACACCCCGGGGACGGTGCAGAGCCCCCGGCCCCTCCGCCTACCTCTGTCCGAGAAATCCACGGCCTGCTCCGTCTCGGAGCCGGAGGAGCGGGTCTGGCGCAGCGGGTACTTCTTGGGGGTGACGGGAGCCGGCTGCTGCTGGCTGCGGGTCACCCTCCGCGTGGAGTACACCGGCTCGTCCGGCCCCAGCGCCGGAGGGTTCCGCACCGGGCTGGAGTCTGCTCCCGCGGGAACACACCGTTACAGCGGGGACAGCACCGGGACAGCACGGGGATCATGGGGACAATCATGGGGACACCACCGGGACACCACCGGGATCATGGGGACAACCATGGGGACACCATGGGGATCATGGGGACAACCATGGGGACACCACCGGGACACCACGGGGATCATGGGGACACCACAGGAACCACGGGAACTATGGGGACAGCCATGGGGACACCATGGGGATCATGGGGACAACCATGGGAACCATGGGAACTATGGGGACAGCCATGGGGACACCATGGGGATCATGGGGACACCACAGGAACCATGGGGACACCACAGGAACCACGGGAACTATGGGGACACTATGGGGACACCACGGGAACACCTCAGGGACACCACAGGGACCATGGGGACACCATGGGGACACCACAGAGACACCACAGGAACCATGGGGACACCACAGGGACACCACAGGAACCATGGGGACACCACAGTTACACCACAGTTACACCACAGGAACCATGGGGACACCACAGTTACACCACAGGAACCATGGGGATACCATGGGAACCATGGGGACACCACAGAGACCCCACAGGAACCATGGGGACACCATGGGGACACCACAGTTACACCACAGGGACACCACAGCACCCACAGGACCCCCTGCCCCACGCTGGCCAACACCCTGTGGCTCTGTCCTGTCTAAGTCACCTGCTCTGGCCTCGCCTGATAAAATCTCAGGACACTTGGAGCAATCTGCAGCAACACCAGCTTTCTCCAGCTTTAACGACCTAATTAACCCATAATTACCACCCAGCTCCCCGCTGGAGAAGCAAAGATCCCTTAGTTTAGATAAGAACCATTGGGGTTTAGATAACAACCCACAGCCCTTGGGAACAGCTGGATTGCTTGTGGGGCTGGAAGAGCCTTTTCCTGGTCTGAGGAAAAGCTTTTTCCTGGTTTAAGGAGCAGCGTTTTCCCAGCTTAAGGAAGGGCCTTTTCCCAGTTTAAACAGGAGCCTTTTCCCAGTTTAAGGATGAGCCTTTTCCCAGTTTAAGGATGAGCCTTTTCCCAGTTTAAACAGGAGCCTTTTCCCAGTTTAAAGAGGAGCCTTTCCCCAGTTTAAGGATGAGCCTTTCCCTGGTCTAAGAATGAGCCTTTTCCCAGTTTAAGGAAGGGCCTTTTCCCAGTTTAAGGATGATCCTTTTCCCAGTTTAA